GGGGAGGGAGCACCCCGCTGTTGATCGCTGCCCGGCACGGGCACCTGGAGGTGGTGGAGTACCTGCTGGATCACTGCGGGGCCCGCGTGGAGGAGGGGGGCTCCGTCAACTTCGATGGGGAGACCATCGAGGGGGCCCCACCGCTTTGGGCGGCGTCTGCTGCCGGGCACCTGGGGGTGGTGCGCAGCCTCCTGGATCACGGCGCGTCAGTGAATCAGACCACGCTGACCAACTCCACGCCGCTGCGGGCTGCTTGCTTTGACGGGCACCTGGAGATTGTGCGCTATTTAGTCGGGGAGCGCGGGGCTGACCTGGAAGTAGCCAACCGGCACGGACACACTTGTTTGATGATTTCTTGCTACAAAGGGCACCGGGAAATTGCACGTTACTTGCTAGAGAAAGGGGCTGATGTCAATCGCCGCAGTGTGAAGGGGAATACTGCCCTACATGACTGCGCTGAGTCTGGCAGCCTGGAGATCCTGCAGCTACTGCTCCGCTCCAAAGCACGCATGGAGAAAGACGGCTATGGCATGACTCCTCTGCTAGCTGCCAGCGTCACTGGTCATACCAACATTGTGGAGTACCTCATCCAAGGAGGGCTGCAGCAGGAGGAGGAGGAGGTTGCAGGGAACCAAAATGGGACCTGTGCATCAGGTGGGAGCCATCAGAGATGCTGCGGCGCTGGCAAGGAAGCTTCTCAGGGCTGCGATGAAGAGGGGTGTGAGAGATGTTGTGCCTCAGCTTCCAGTCAGGAAGAGCAGCAGGTCCCTAATGTGTTCTGCACTCGAGAGGCTGCTGTGGAAGCACTGGAGTTGCTGGGTGCTACGTTTGTGGATAAGAAACGTGACCTTTTGGGAGCCCACAAGTACTGGCGAAGGGCAATGGAGCTTCGGTGTGAGGGTGGGCAATATCTGCCTAAACCTGAGCCCCGGCAGCTGGTGTTGGCCTATGACTATTCCCGGGAAGTGAGTTCGCTGGAGGAACTGGAAGCCTTGATTACTGATCCAGACGAGATGCGCATGCAGGCACTGCTGATTAGAGAGCGCATCTTGGGCCCTTCCCACCCAGACACTTCCTATTACATCCGTTACCGAGGAGCAGTCTACGCTGACTCTGGCAACTTCGAGCGCTGCATTAACCTGTGGAAGTATGCTCTGGACATGCAGCAAGGCAACCTGGAGCCTCTCAGCCCGATGACTGCCAGCAGTTTCCTTTCCTTTGCTGAGCTTTTCTCTTACGTGCTTCAGGACCGCTCCAAAGGCACTTTAGCTACCCACTTGGGCTTCTCTGACCTCATGGGAGTACTGAGCAAAGGAGTCCGGGAGGTGGAGAGGGCTCTGGTGCATGGCAAGGACCCTGTAGTTGACTCGGCGCAGTTCACCAAGACACTGGCCATTATCCTCCACCTCGTCTTCTTGCTGGAGAAGGTGGAGTGCACCCCGGAGCAGGAGCACCAGAAGCGCCAGACTATCTACCGCCTGCTGAAGTGCAGCCCCCGGGCCAAGAACGGCTTCACTCCTTTGCATATGGCTGTGGACAAAGATACCACAACAGTGGGACGTTATCCCGTGGGCAAGTTCCCATCGCTCCACGTTGTGAACTTGCTTTTGGAGTGTGGGGCTGACCCAGATAGCCGTGACTATGACAACAACACCCCGCTGCATGTTGCTGCCCGCAACAACTGCCCGCTGATCATGAGTGCCCTGATGGAGGCTGGAGCCCATATGGATGCCACCAATGCCTTCAAGCAGACTGCTTATGAGCTGTTGGATGAGAAGCTGCTCACCAAGAGCATGATGCAGCCCTTCAATTACATCACCCTCCAGTGCCTTGCTGCTCGCGCCCTGGACAAGCACAAGATTCCCTACAAGGGTTTCATCCCTGAGGAGCTGGAAGCCTTCATTGAACTGCACTAGGGCAGGAGAGCTGCAGTCCCCAGCCTTTCCCGTCGCCTGTGTCACCCCGCAGAGGTAGCGCAGCCTGAGATCTCAGGCCATCCCTGCCTAGGTGCCGAAGGCCGTCGCTGTGCTGAGACGGGCTGCGAGCTTTGTCCTCATCTGTCACCATCAAGCTGGCATGCGCAGGGGTAGGGGAGGAGGAGGCTCGAGAGCTCATGGCTGTCCCTCATTATTGTCATCTTCAGGTACCAGATCTCTCCAGTGCACTGTATCCAGAGAAGGCCGCAGCCCCTGCCCTTTCCCATGCCAACTGTCTTGTCCTGAGAAGGAAGGAAAATGGAGATTCCCTGGGACCTGTTGCCTCTCCCATTAGTGCTGGATTAACTCAGCGTTAAGCTTTGGAGCAGCTACACATCACACATGTGCTCTAGCCTTTCCCATCCCAAGTACTGAACAGATAGGAATGCAAGTGAGGAATAAAATATCTTCCAACTAATTGTTTCCCCCTCCCCTTCCCCGATTTGGTACAGTACGAGTCTAACAGCCGAGTGGCTTGTGCTCTGCTGAGGTAGTTGCCTTGCATGGCAGTAGGGTTGGGTATGCTGAGGACGTTGTGTTTTTTTTTTTTCTCCCTTGGTTGGCCAAGTAGCAAGTGGTGTTAAAGGCCTGAGATTTCAATGATTGTGCATAAAGCTGGGTTATTTTTTCTCTTTTTAGAGCCAGGCCCTATCTATGCTGCAAGACTTCTTCAATCCTGTAAGATATAGTAAGGTCAGTTCTGGTTATACAGTTTCATCAATAGATGTTGGGTTTTATGAATGGGGAGGAAAAACTGCTACCTTAGAAACAAAATACTAATGTGGTGTTCAGGCCATTCTGCACACGTTCACTCCCTTTCCTGTGCAGAGGTCCTTCAGCTCCAGAGGTCAGCAGGGATTGAGCTGTACAGGGGGGACATGGCCAGGTTTCAGAGCCAAACCAGTGCACCCTGAACCGTCTTTGAGGATGTGCACTTGGAAGCCCTCTGGGGTGGAAGGTACTTGTAGGGTGGGTGGTACTTGGAGGGTTATTGAAGCAAGTGAGCATTGGTGGCATCTTTGCATGAGGGTGGTCTGAAGGAAGAAGCGAGCAAGAAATGGAAGGTAAATGTGCCACCTTGTTCTTTTGAGGTTTATTAGTGTTAACCGATTAGGCTCTGTTAATTATCCCATTCTGAAAGCCTACATGGAGTTGGTTGTTAGCATCTGGTTTTGGCTTTTGATTCTTTTTGCAACTTTACTGAGGATGGTGCTACTTCAGAGATTGAATTTGAAATCTCATTTGGCTACTATTTGGGCAAGCTCCTTTCTTTAATTAGGATCTGCACGCAACTTGTTTTTCTCTTTAAATCTGTAGTCTCAGGGTAGGTATTTGCCTCCATTAGCAGAACCCTCCTTGGTGGTAAACAGTCAGTGTTGGTAAACATGATGCCGTTCCAGCAGTTTATCTTCTTGCAGGGGGAGTGACTGGGCTTTGGCAGCCTGTGGCTCATTTCTTGGCCCCGGGCAGAGTGGAAAGCACAGTTGGGGGTGAAGCAGCTGCCTGTGAGCTTTGGGAAAGGTCAAGACTGGGAGAGCAGAACCCTGACAAACAACCATGCACTCTATGCTACTGAAGCTTCTCTACTCGTATTTATAGGCCAGCGTATCTGTATGCCTCGATAATCCAGTGCTCTGCCCCTTAAAGATATTGTAGATCTGCCATTACATTTTTGCAGTGTTAGCTATAACATTTATTTATAAAGCAAGGAGGTTTAACTTTTATTGAGATGTAAAGTGCAGAGTTAGTTTAGCTACATTCTATTTTTTTTTTTTTGGCTGAAATCGGAACTAAACTGCAGGAATGGAATTTGTTAATTTGTGAGCTGATGAGCGCTCTTAACTTTAAATAATAAAACAAAAAATGGCTGCTAGAATGCAAGTGCCTTGGACTTCTTGCTGGTAAGCCTCTATTTTCAGCTCATTTCATAGGGATGGTACACTTGTGGGTACGGAAATACTGGGCGTTTGCAATCAACAGATGTGATTGTTTCATTCCGTCATTACTCCTGGGAAAAGCTAAGCTGTATTGCAATTGGAAAATTTCCCCTGAAAAACAATAACACTGACACTGAAATGACACCTCTCTTTATACACTTTGCCTTGTCTTTTGATGTAAATGAAACAACGTGAAAGGATGCCGCTCTGTTGAGCCAGATATTATCTACCTTATATACAGTTGGGACTGTGGGCACAACGAGCAGAAGGAGGGACGCAATGTGGCTATCATCTGTTTATGGTTTTGACCCCAAAAAAGGCATCTGTCTGATCAAAAGCAGAGGAATTAAAGGTATTGGAGTTAGTTCCACACAAGGATTTGGGTTTCCAAAAATGCTCGGCCTTCCCCAGTGAGGATGGGAGAGATGAGAAGGGAGTTCTTCCACAGCTGGGATGGGGAAGCAACTCTGGAGCCGGGATCCTGTGATCAGGTAGCTGGAGGATCCAGTCAAGTACAAAAGCCTCAAAGAGGAGGATACTTTGTGTAATAGAAAAGAGTTTTAAATTTTTTCTTTTTTAACACATCAATAATCTGTAATTACATGGCAAGGGCCTAGCGATTAGATTTTGGTAGTAATTGCTGGGTGGGAGAAATCACTGCATGAACTTAGGGGTCATTAAAATGAACAGTCCTTATTTGTTGTAGGTGTTGTCTGGGCCAGCTCCGGTATGTGGGGCAAAACAAGGAGTTGTGGGGAGCAGTGAAATGTTTCAGTGATCATTTTGTTTTCTTAGTAATTATCTTGGACAGAGATTGGAGTATTTTTTCACTGGCGTGGCTACAGACCCTCTCCTGTAGCACACTGCTCTCCATGAGCCCTTCTATACACTGCCATGGACAAAACGTCCACCTTTTATTCCTTTCTTAAAACCTAAGATGTGGTTTTCTCTCTCTAAACTGGTAATTGACCCTCTTGACAATAAAGCCTCCCATACAGGTTTCATTAGAAATGCAAAAGTGATGAGAAATTCACTGGGGTTTTCCCGGAGCCAGTGGCTGGTGCCCTTCTACGGATGTCTTTGGAGCCTCCTCCTGCCCTAAGATGAGTGTTTACAAAGAAAGGGGCCTGGAGCATAAAGGTAGGGATACTGTGTCGGCGTTTCCCAGGTACCCAGAGAAACCGGGGAAGAACGAGGGGGTCACAGACACACGTGCATTTTCGTGGTGAAAACAAGGCCCTGGTGGCAACGCTTGCTTTCCAGGGTGAGCAACCAGAGAGAGGGCCCTGAAAATGTGGGAAGAGTGAACCTGCTGCTGCGGTTAAAACAGGGCTGTGACTCCTAAGTGGAAGTTGTTCCAAATGACCTTTGAGGCTCTCACCCCTCCACCCACAGTAAGCTTAAAAAAAAAACCCCAACCCTGCAATGTTTTACAGGCTGCTGCCGTGTCTTTCCCTCTCCCTCTCTCCGGTCCAAGCAAACCTGATGTGACAGCGTTAAGGTTGTTTACAAGCTACAGCAGCTTCCAGTTGACTAGTTTTGCATGACATTTATTTATAGAAAGTAGAAGAGCTTGGGAAGGAGCGACGTATATGTTTTCTCCCAAGGGGAGGGGCTGTCCTGGTGGCTGCACAGCAACAACTGCAGCGTGACAGGAATTGCAGTAACACAACACCTATTTGAACAAAGGTGATGTAGAGGAGAGAAAATAGGGAAATAGAAGGAATCCAAGCACTTGGAGGATTCCAGCAGACTCTGTAAAGAGTAAATGAGTAAATCCACTGTCACTGGGTCCTTTGAAGTTAAAAGCCAAACTGTTTCAAAGCTGGAAACCAACAACTGATGGCAGCTTTTAAATAGCAATGATTTTATGTGGTTCTCATTCTGCTCAGGACAGAGAGGGCTTTAATTTGTCTGAGCTTGGTGTCTTGTGCTAGTTCTCAGCCAAGGAGGTCCAGGAAGAGGGGAGGGAGGCAGAGGCACCTTCTGTGGACCTGTGGCCTCTTAAGAGGAAGTTCTATGGGATTCAGATCCAGGACTGTGACAGCCGCGGCTCTGTTGCAGTTGAAGAGTAGGGAGAAATCAGCTCTCAGGTCCTACATCTGGTCGTGCCCACGAGCTCCAGAGCTTGCGCTGAAGTTCGGTCAGTGCCCGGGCTCTCCAGCCTCATCCTGCAGACATCTTCAGCCCCTCCTGAGGGGCATAAGCTGCTCAAAAATAAAAAGGCAGCAGTTGCAGCTTTCAGCACAGGGCAAGTGGAGGGGTCTGTCCTGTTACCTGCTATCCTCTGTGGAGCCAGGACTAAGGAGAGTCTGCCATTCTGATCTCTCCTCCATGCTGGGGATTCATGTCTCAGCAGTGAGCTTTATTTAGTAGGCTGGTGCATGTTTGGGAGGGCGTGCTTTGTGCAGAACGAGCTGGAGGTAGATTGAGCCAGAGAGGAAGAGTGAGAATTGGATGATCTTCAGCCCAGTGACCAGAGTGCTCCCTGAGAGGGGATTATTGTCAGCTGAATAGTCTCTTCTCCAAGGATGTATTAATGTCTTTCTTATGGATGTGTTGGTTGTAGGGCTTGGGTGGTTCTTGGACAAAGACTACAATCCAGAATTAGGCCCTGTGAGTGCCCAGCTTGGGTAGTCCCAGGTCCAGGATGGTCTGTAGGAGTCCTGCGCTTTGGCTGCCAGACAGTGCTGGCTCCTCTTGATTTGAAACCTACTGGGACAGCTATTCAGAGTGACACGAGTGCACGCACTTCTGCAGATACTCGAAACGGGGTCACCTCCCCCGTATCAATCACGCTGGCCCTCGAGGTTGACCTTAACAAGGACTTGGCAGCTCTCGGGCTCCTTCCTAGGGTGAGGAGTAGGGCGAGCGCTGCCCTGCAGCTTGCGGAGGCCCTGGCACAGGGTGAGTTGTCTCTGGAGCTGGGTGCTGTTGGCTGAGCTCTGGTCCGCAGAGGGAGCGATCCCGTTTCGGGTCTGGTGGCTTTGGGCTGACCTCTACTGACAGAGCAGGCAAATGGCCGTGGCAGGAGCCGTCGGAGGGAGAGCCTGGGGTCTGGGGCTTTGCTTCAGATGCCCGCTTTGTATTCCAAGCTCAGTAGATACCGGCTTGGTATATCCCTCGCCCAGGTCCTGCAGAATACCTCCCCCATTCCTGGCCCTTCTCCACCCCTTCTGTAATGCTCTGCTCAATGCTTTTATTTTTTCATCAAACTTTTTCCTCGAAGACAATAACACAAATAGGTGGAATAATCTCAGTAGGGAACATTTCTCTCTGCAACAGCCGGTCTGACAGGGCCCTGGTCCCACCTCTGACCTTTTACAGGCAGGTAAGGATGGAGGAGTGGACACTCCGCATCTCCTCCGGTCTCATTCCACCTTCATTAAGTAATTTTTTTTTTTTCCAAGCACAGCTTTACTGCAAGGATTCTTGTTTACCCTTGTATCTGGTATGTATCTTTAACAGTTTTCTTAAATACAGAAATACTTCAAGCCATACCTCCAGGGCACATGGGAATTTTGTCTTTCACAAACAAAAAACTTCTCTCTCTGTAGTTTCAGAGGGGAACTGGGAAAAGTGATCTCTTGATGCCTCAGCCCAGAGGCCTGCAGCCTCTCGGAAGTCTACGAAGCTGGTTTCCTGAACCTTCCTGGGTCTGATGCGAGAGGCTCGGGGGAATGGTGCTGCTGGTGTGCTGCAGCAAGGGGAGGGCACCAAGCACACAGAGTAGGTGTTGGCGTGAAGGGCCAAGAGGATACTCTGCAGCTCCAGGCAGACAGGACTGCTGGAAGAAACCAGTGGGACCTTGTGGTGCTTGGCACCTTGACAGGGGGCCACAAAACCCCCCAAAGCATCCCCTGTTATGAAACAGAACCCCACTGTGCCATTTCCCAGCCCCCTCTGCCCCAGAGGTACAGATGTGCAGAACAGTTTTTCCAAATAACCCTGACTGCCTCTTTGCTAATTCTACAGGAAAGAACCAGAGAAACACCAATAAATTAATTAAAATTTATTTGTAAAACCTTCCAGTAGCCTCAGAAAATAAGGAAAAAAGTATTCTCAGTTACTTGAAAATAAGCACAAGGAAAACAGTGCCAGGAGATTGCAGCCTCTTTTGTCCAACAAAAAAGGAAGGTAATTGTCTCCTGTGCTCCAGGAAAGTGGCACCTTTTACTCAGTGAAGTAAGAATAGTCCCGATCCCAGCAGAACCACTATAACCTAGGGTTTGAAACTGAGTGTCTCTGGCCTTGGCTGACCTGCTGTGTCTCTGATCGAGCATTCTACCTGGTTTCTTCCTCCCTGTCCTGCGGACCTGGTGTGACAGTTTCTACCTGCATCGTGTTGTGGTTCCCAATCTGAACCATTCGAGCGTGTTGAATGATGAGGGGCGGGATGCCTCCGGGACCTGGCATCATGTTGTAGTGGCCTGATGGGAAATGAAGTGGTTGGAAAGGAGAGGGACCCATCTGAGCAGGCATGGGCTGACCAGCGGGAGGAGGTGGGTATGTGGCAGGAGGAACGGTCAAAGTGGGGGGGCACCACTGTCGGGGTGACTGCTCCTGCAGCTGTGGCCGTGTTGCTGATGGAGGCATCTGAGGAAGAGAGCCAAGGTTCAGGGCAGCTAAGTTCTGCAGTGTTTGATACCGTTCCTGATACAGCTGTAGTTTCCTTTTCTGCATCAGGCCCCACACGGCTTTCCTCTCATTGATCCTGCTGGTGGTAAAGGTGTTCTGCACTGTCCTGGAGAACCCAGGGGAGTTCTCATCCAAGGGCATCAGCCCACCGAGCATGCTGGGAATCTGACTCCGGTCCAGGGGGTTCTCCTTGGGTACGAAAGGGATGACTGAGTCGCGCTTGGATGGTTTCAGGATTGACTCCATCAGAGCAGTGTTTGTCTGAAACATACACAGGTCGCACGGGAAGTTCTTGGTCAGCAGAAGGATGATGAAAGCAGAGTTTTCCATAGCATCCTGGAAGCAAGTCATATGGCTGCGCCCGGCAACGAAGAAGTCCTCACAGAGTGTGGCACCATTGGGAACCCCCATGTTCTCCAGCAGGTCTTTGACCCGATGGGCAACAATCTCGTCTTCACTAGCATGCAGGACTACAAAAGTGAAGAACTTTCCACCATCTAGCTCTGATGTGGGCACTGGTTCTACAGTTTGGAGAGGAGGAGGCCAGGCTGGAGAGAGGGATGAGTGGAGGGGTGGGGGATAAAATAAGTTGGAAGGAGATCCCTGAAGAGGAGAGGGAAGGGTTGAGGACAAGGAATAGGTAGGAGGAGGAAGGGAACAGGTTGAAATGGAAGGAGGTGCAGAGTTAGAAGGAATGCCTGCTGGAACACAAGAGTCCTTCATGGATGTGTGGGCAGGACCAGTATCCACTGTAGCTCTTGAGTCAGGAAGACCTGTAGATAATTGCTTTTCATCTTGCTTTTTGTCTATGTTTTCTTTCGGTGCATGAGGTTCTGCTGCCACTGTGCTGGAAACATCACTACTTTCGACAGGTTGGTTCACAGCACCCATTGTGGGCAGCTGCGTTTCGGGAATAGGGGGAGTTGGGTGACAGGAACTGACCTGCAGAACATTCTCTGGTTGGGGAACTTGGGCATCCGTGTCCTGCCTGGGATGAGAGTTGGTTCTGCTGGCCCAGCTTGTTTCCTGCAGGCCGTGGCTCTGTCCGTCCCTGTCAGGCTGTCCAGCACTGCTGGTGCTCCCTTTGCACGGCCGGCTGGGCTGGGGGTCACACTCGTGGGAAGAAGGCTGAGTGTGAAAAACAACTGTTGGTGATGAACTGATCTCAAAGTGACTGGGGAAGGAGGGACTCCCCAAGGAGCACAAGGTCCGTGGGCCTGAAAGGTGTGAGTTGCCTCCAATCTGAACTGGAGAACTTCTCAGCATGTAGTTTGGGCTGGCCGTCTGGAGAAATCCTACGCCTCCATCAGATCTCAGTGTCTGAAATTTGTCACATGGGTCCATGCTGATAGCAGAGCCATGTTTTTCCTGGTCCACAGGTGGGATGCTGTTGAGTGTTCCCCACTGAGTTTCCCTGCTGGCATTGCAAGCCTTGGTGGCAGCCTGGCAGGCTTTGTCCATGGCTTCATGACTGCAGAGTTTTTCCTGTGCCAACACTGAGTAGATCTGTGCCAGAAGCACCATGGCCCCTGCATCCAGCTGAGGAGGCTGCAAATCCTCCCCATCTTCCTGCACTCCTGCAGTGCCCAGTTTGGTCTGGTGGACATACTGGGCTGCCTGGTTATCTCTCAAGGCATCCAAACAAATTCTTGCATCTGCTTCTTGCCCCAGAGTAAGCAGGACCATGGCTTGCAGTAATTTTCTGCTGGGCCCAAATCTCAAGTCCTTTAGTTTATATTTGAGGCTAAGGAGTTTATCTTGTGGGATCTGGGATAGAATATTAAAAACGTCCTCAAAGCTTGGCTGGAGCTTGGCGCTCTGTGCCATCTCATCAGCTGGTGGCCCAGACGATGGACTGAAGCAGCGTGGATGGAAAAAGCATATTACGGCACTTGGAGCGAAGGTTTGTATCCCTGCGGTGCTCTGTGATGCCCTGGTCGCGCTTCACGTGTACCGCACAAACGATAGCTCTTTGCTGCTCAGGGGCTCATCTCAGAGCCGGGATATCTCTGTCCTGAGGAACCTGCGAGAAGAACACAGGACAACGCTCAGAAATAGTGATGTGGGGAGCTGGGGGGGTCCTTGCAAGGCTTGATGAGCTCCCAGGATTTCCCTCGCAGCTCTCAAGTTTTTGCACCTATTCAGCGCTTGCAGGTCCGCCAGTGCTCTGCACGTTATTCCGATTCTGTTATTAAGGAAAGAGCACGTTCTTTGCATTCATTTCACATTAATTACAACTGTTTTAAAATAATTGCTGAACTAATAATGTATTTAGGTAAATCCGAGTGTCTGTCTCCTCCAGGCAGCTGGTTCCAGGGGCCTCGCAGGCCCTTTCCGATGGGCAGTCGAGGAATAAAGCGCACTTGGAGGAAGCCCTTTCAAATTGCTCGTGCCAGGAGGGTTGATAACCCGTACGCATCCTCTGTCAGGCTGCCTAATGCGACTGTGGACGTTGTATCTCCATCCACACCTAATCCCTGAGCCCTGCTAAACCCTTGCACTCACCAACGGCCTCTGACCAGGGTTAAATTAAACAGCAGAACGTGTCCGGAGCGGAGCGGGTGCCGGGAGGGTCCGCGGGGAGCCGGGAGGGACACTGCTCACAGGCACTGACTGAGCCTGGTGGAAAAGCTTTCCCTATTTAAAGGGAGCACCAGCAAGTGCCCCAAAATAGCTCTCAGCTGGGGAAAGTTTATAATTTCAAATGGCTTGCTTCTTTCTCATAAAAATCCTCTAATTGCTTAATGAATGAGCTCAAGCCAAGCCTGAGGAAGTTGCTGGCTCTTTCCATGAAAACTTCTGATTCAGTGAAACGGCGGCAGAAGGCGAGGGCAGGCGCTCGAAACGGCAGCCGAGAGGGCTCCA